TTCGTTGTGCATAGCAGGGGGTAGTGAACATTGTGTGTGTGTGTGCGCGCATGCAATTTTTTTGTTCTGCTTCCTCTTGTCCCTGTCACTTTAAATACCTTCTATCGGTCATTACACCAAACAAAATGGGGAACTTTACTGACCAGTTCACTGTATCCATCGCAATTCCAAAAACAACTTCTTCAATAAAACCCAACTCAAGGAGCGCCTGGGTGGCTCAGCCGGTTAAGTGTCCAACTCTTGATTTCACTTCGGGTCATGATCTCAGAGTTGTGAGATCGAGCCCCGCTTTGGGTTTTGTTGTCTGCTTGAGATTCTCGCTCTCCCTCTGCCCTTCTCCCTCCACTTACATGCTCTCTCTAAATAAAAAAAACTAAATCTTTAAAAATATAAAAAATTTAAAAAATGAAACCCAACTCATAGTTAATCATTCAAACAAAAAATTACTCCTTGCTTCTTCTGAGCTGAAAAATCAAATCTGACCTCTTGCTTAGATTTTGGTGTCTTTATATCAACGTTCACATACAAACAACCTGCTACGTGTACTGCGTAGTCATGTACTCCACTGAAAAATAGGTGTTAACGTGTGCTTGGCAGGCATTGGTGGTTAACAAGTGATTTCAAGTAAGTAAGAAATCTGAGTGCCTATTGATGAGGTGTTATTATATTCCATACAAAATGGTATCTGTGTATACATGTGGAATGTGTGAAGACAAAGTGGGGACAAACTGTACTCTAAAAGCTAGAGGAAAATTTTAGGGTAGAAAAGCAAATAGCTAAGAATAAGGACCCACGAGTGGAGAGGCCATGCCAACGCACTTTTTTAAAAGATTTTTATTTATTTATTTGGCAGAAAGAGCACAAGCAGGGGCAGTAGCAGGCAGAGGGAGAGGGAGAAGCAGGCTCCCCGCTGAGCCCCAACCCACTTCCGAAAACTTTGAGTCACAGGCGGTCCTTCTGTTTTTGTCTTTTACATTGCATTCTATCGGTAAGTCCTCTTTTTCATACCAGATTGCCCTGGTCCATTTATTCTCCCATGTGTACATGTTCTCCTCTTTCCTGGAGCTGCAAGCCCTCCTCCCCATCCTCCCTCTTCTCTGACAGCCAAGGTTCCATCATCAGTAAGTGCTGGAGGTAGTAAGAGAGCCGCCATTAAGTTCCCATCACCCCACCCACCATTTGGCTCCATCTCTCCTCCCATCGCCCTCGGTGGGAGGTCCTCAGCCCTGTCTGCACAGCACAGCACTGGAGGCACACTGGAAGACTACCCTGGTTGAGCCAGAATCTCTATGGGAAGAGCCGAGATACTGGAATTACCAATAGAATTAGCCAGACCAAACCCTCCAGTTGAGGACCAGATCTCATCAGCGTGTGCATGCTCAAAGCCCTTGCTCCAGCAACTTTCCTTATTTCCGTGCCAGCCATCTTTCCCTCCCAAATACATGATTTGTTTCCACATACACACATGCTATTATTTCTCCCATCATGAAAAAGTTCTCTTCATTTCTTTTCCCTCAGCAGCTACCTTACCATTTCTCCCCTCTACCTAAAATTCCCTTCAAGAAGTCTCCATATTCTGTGTCCAGTTCTGTTTGCCCACTCTATCTCCATCGCTATCCACGAGATTTTTGCTCCCAACAATTCACCGGAACTGATAACCTCCGTGCTTCTAAATGCAACAGTCCATTCTGTCTCCACCCCCATGACTGAAGAGCAGTATTTGGCAGTTAATCACTCTCCTCCTTAAAAAGTTCTCATCACTGAGCTCCCAGGACATGTTCTGGGCTCCCTCACTTCATGTTCCTCCTTTCTTTGTTGCTTCTGGTAGTTCTACCTCATTTCTGAATTCTTAATATTGGAGCTCCTTAGGACTCAGTTCTTGAGCTTCTTATATTTTTATCTACTCTCATTCCCTAAGTGATATATAGTCTTTGGGCTTTTGATGCCCATATGCTATATGCTCATCTGTCTCCAATTTTTATCTCCAGCCAGCATGACACCCCCTCCTAATCTGACTTCCTAGCTGCATTCCCCAACTCTGTTAATAACATTTCATCCTCCTAGTGGTTCGGGCCACAGCAAAGTTGGTGTGATCCTTGAGTCTGTAGGGTCTGGGTTCCATAATTTCACCCTTGGTGTCATGTCTCTGAATATGTTACTATGTGGGGAAAGGAGTTAATGTGACTAATGAGATGAACTTAAAATAGGGAGGTTATCCAAGATGATCCAAGTGAGCCCACAGCCCCTAAATCACATGGGCCTTCAAGGTGGAAGAAGAAGGCAAAATATTTGATCAGAGAAATGCAAGGACAGGAAAAAAAAAAAAAAAACAACAGGAGAAATTCCAAGCCTGAGAGGGTCACTCCATTTACCCTTGCTGACTCTGAAGATGGAGGAGGCACTAGGATTGAGGGAATGTTACGGCCTCTAGAAAATGGACAAGTCAAGGAAAGCAATCCTCGCCTAGAACCTCCAGAAAGCGTCGCAGCCTGATGATACCTGGATTTCAGCCCAGTGGGACCCACCCAGGACTTCTGACCAGAACTACAGGAGGATACTTTCACACCCTTTGCAACTACACACTAAAGGAGTGGTCATTCGTTACGGCAGCAGTATAAACTGATATACTCCCCATCACCCACCCATCAGCATTTCCTGTCAGCTCTATCCTGAAAGTATATGTCCAAATTGACTGTTTCTCATCATGCCCTCACTCTGCTTTGGCCCAAGCCACCATCATTTCGTGCCCAGCTTCCTGACAGAGCCTCCCAACCAGTTTCCCTGCTTCTGCCCTCACAATTCTTGATTCAAGTCAGAATGCAGCAGCTGGGTAGGTCCTGTTAACTCACAAGTGATACCAGCTCTCTCTTCTACTCAAGATCCCCCAATGGCTTCAGGACTCACCGAGCACAAAAACCAGAATCCTTCCCATGATGCTGCTGGCCCCTCCATGCTGGCTGCTTGCCGTCGTCCTCCCGATGTATTGACTCTGGTTCCTCCCACATGCTCCCTTCACAGCTCTGGGCTCGCCTGAAATCCTCCTCCTCAGATATCCATTTGCTTAACTCCCCACACCTCCCTCCGGTGGTCTCCCTCCTTCCTTCCTTCCTTCCCTCCTTCCTTCCTTCCTTCCGTTGATGTCTTATTCAACATCGCACCATTACCGCCTCCCCATACTACACATCCAACTTTATCTTATTGTTTATGGTCACACACCAGACAGTGGGGTATCACAGAGATAGAGATTTGTTCTCCTTCATTCACAGCCACCTGGCCCATAATAAAAACTCAATAAATATTTGATAAATTAAGGCATTTTTCCTACGGAATATGGCTGCTGGGTTCACCCTTTTGTTCCAATCCCCATGGCTACTATCTCAAGCCGGCTCACTCTACCACTGAAATTTCATCGATGGATTTTGAGTTGGTGTCTTTGCTTCCAGTTCTTATCCGTACCCTTCCATGCATCCTACAGATATACATCCCTGATTCATCTTTGCTAAACACTATTAGAAGCATACGCATTTTGTTCTGAGGAACATACAGTGGCTCCCATTGCATTCTGCTTCCAAAAGTAGGACTTGAATTATCCACAGCAATTATATTTCCCTAGTACAGCTTAGCAGCCACCCTCCTCACTCCTGTTCCCTTCAGACAGATCCCTATGCCCACCCTCATGCTGGGCGGCTATTCACCGCACTGCTTACGTGTGGTTTCCTCTTTACTGACCTCTTGAGCTTCCTTCGGAGCCCCTCAAAAATCACATTCTACTGCCTAACTCTTCCCGCTCATACCAGACTCCATTTCCATTAACTGTTTTCTACTTTCAGGGGCACCTGGGTGGCTCAGTCGTTAAGCGTTTGCCTTTGGCTTGGGTCATGATGGGATAGAGCCCCTCATCGGGCTCCCTGCTCCGCGGGAAGCCTGCTTCTCCCTCTCCCACTCCCCCTGCTTGTGTTCCCTCTCTCGCTGTGTCTCTCTCTGTCAAATAAATAAATAAAATCTTCAAAAAAATAACTGTTTTCTACTTTCTTATGAGGATTTGTTCCTCTCTACTTAGATTAGAGGTTTTCTGAAGACAGGACTCATATCTCCTGCACTTGACCACCCAAGTGACATGTCTACATCAGGATTAATTCTGATTTTATGACTTCAGTGTTTTCACCAAATGTTATAATATAGAATATATATTATTACACATCTTATATATTATACATATATGTTCCTCTTGGTCTCTGGGTTTATGATTTTACTATTCTTAATTTTTCTTAATTTTTTAACCCTGATTTAGGCATTATTTGTCCTGTCGATATTTTACATAAGAGTAATCTCCATGTTGTTGCATGAATTTTAAATCAATATAGGGCATATATCTGCCTGCCATTTAATTTAGACATGTTCCAACACGTACTGCCTGGTGAACATGGACAAATTGCTTCCCTCTGTCACCCAACAACACTGGAAGGTACTGGGAGCGGGAGGGGAGTGGTGAACTTGGCTGAGAGCATCGCTGCCCCTGGAGGTGCGCACAGCTCCACAGAGGGGATGGTCATGAAATGAAGAGCTCCAAGTAGGAAGAGACTAATAAAACGGTAGCTAATTCCTATTCCTATGGTATTTCTACCCATGAATTCAGAATGAGATAATAATGAATTTTGCAGCACAATCTCATCATCAAAGGAAACAATTTCATTGGGAAAAAAAGTTTCATTAAGAATTTAAATGAACAATTTACAAGGAAATCACATGCTTTCCAGGTAGGTAATTCTTTAAAAAAAATTACAATAATTTTACCAAATTTTGCATTTCGTTCATCTGTACTAAATTTGGAAGTTTTAACTATGGTCTTTCGAAAGAGGACTATTCCTTGACTATTTCAGATCTTAAAAAAAAAAAAAGCCCCTAACATTTAAAAGAAATACCCTCCTCCATCTCCCCCACCAGGAAACAACAAACAAAAACCATGAAAACCCACATCGGAAAACTTTTGTGTCATGTACCTTCTTTGTCATCGTGGTGGATAATTGCATCCTGTATCATGTCGGCAAGGTTAAAGTGAACTTTTTGATTCTTCCCATGCTTCAGCTTTTTCAGGAATCCTTCCTGCTTCTGAAAAGCCTTCTCTCTTTCATAGTAGGCTTTGATCTGCTCGCAACGCATGCGCTTCACCAGCCTTTGCCGCTGGCCAAGGGGAAGGGACTCCAGCAAGCACTGGTCAATTTCCATTTCATGGGTTCGAAAAACATTACATAGCTGAAAGCAACCTGCAAGAAACACAGTGAGAATGTCACTAGACCCATTATGACAACAATACAGTAGCACAACAGAGCGTACTCGATTCCCTATTGCCCAGCACAAAAGTCGGAAACTCACGCATTCCTCTTTGCGCTTGACGTGCAAATAGCAAAGGCCTTCCCACAGACGGAGAGAGAAGCAAAGAGAGCTGATGTCTTATTCAACATCGCAAGGCAATAAAATAAATAATAAAATTAGAGCTAAATGTGTAGTTTTGTGCAACTTAATTATTAGCAAACACCATCCTTTCTTATTTTTTTTAAATCTTCACCAAAGGCCTGAAAGTTCTACAGATGCATTAAAGTTCCTTCACTGAATAACGCCAACTAAACTTTGTGTGTTAATTTTTGGCAGAAAGCCATTCTGAGTCTTTCAGCACACCCTAAAAAAATCAGTTTTGTATATCCCTATGACTCTGCTTATCTAACACAAAAGAACCTATGTAGGCTATCAACTATTTATGTGACGCAGTGATTATTTCCACCAATATATTGCTAAACACTTTTCCTATGGATTGGTAACATTCATTTCTAAGAGACCTAATATCGGTTGCACAATAAAACAGATTTTTCTCTTGGCAATTCAGAACCATGGATAGAATTGTTGCTGTTGTGGTCTCTGTCTTATTAATATAGTGAGTAACAGACTGAATTCTCTGTCCTGAAACTGAAGCAATCTTCACTTTCTTTCAACCTGATATTCCTTAGAAACACTACCCCAAACCCCTGTCATGGAAATGTGCAAGCTCATATATCTACCACTAGATTAAAATTTTACCATTGGCAGAAAATTAACACTAGAACACTGAAAATTCGAGAGTCGAACCCACAGGTTCAGAGAAGGGTTTGTATGTTCTTCTCTTCAGGTATTTATGATGGAAGTCTCAAGCAAGTAGAAGGAACTATGCAAGCCCCCAAATGTGGCTGATCATATGCCATGTCTGGAAAGATGGCTCAGAAAGGGCCCTGCTGCTTCATCTTCAGAGAGATGCCCAACTCCTTTGAAAGGACACCACGTTGTGACAAGGCAGTTTCCATTTCTGTATCACTTGACACTTCACAAAGTGTTATTCTCACAACCACCAGGCCAGACCGTTTCTCTTTCGCAAGTAAAGAAAAACGAAGTTGAGAGAGGCTATGACTTGTCCACAGCCAAAGAGATGATTATATGACAATCACAAATGTTCCATAAAGGCGCAAGAAAAAAACAGAGTAAGAGACAGTCACTCTCTACAGCCAGATATTTAAGATATATAAGGAGGGGGCAGGAGGAGAGGGAAGCAGAGCTGGGAAATTTTGTTGTGGTTGTTCGTTAGTGTTTGAGGGCATTCTAGAATCCTATATTTTCATTAAGATCTTCATATGTATTTGTCAGAGTGATGTGAGAAGCATCAAATAACTACATATAAAACGTTTGCTTTCCAGTGACCTAAACGCAAAGACACAGTGGCGGTCGTGAAGTCCACAAATCACCCGGAAGTCTGTCCGTGTGATAAAAGCCGTGATCACCAGCAGATCGTCTCTGAGAGCTCATTAATAATGGCCGGAGATATCTTCTGCCTTCCAATCTGTTCAGAGAACTGCACTTGGGCTCCCAGGACCCGGTGGCTGCCATGACTTTCCTGGTGTGTGAGCAGGTGCCCAGAGCATCAGGGGAACCACTGGAAAACCCGAAGAGGTAAAGCCGATGACCTCACAGCATATCACCTGCTGAGGAGCACGTGGTCAAAGGTGGAGGACAACCTCATAAACACAACAGTCCTCTGGCATTTGGCTCGTACAAAAAACCGTACTGTGAAATTTTCAATGAACTTTTAAAGAGTCTGCAGTGACAGCTCATGATGCATCGAGCAGCCCTCTCAGTCTGTCAAAAAGGAGCACTGAGGGATGTTCATAAATTAATTCCCTCATGATTTGGAAAATCAGATGCCGAGGCTGTTAAATTTCAAATCCCTACATGTATAAAATATTGATTTTTAACATATTTTCTTGTTGGATCATTCCCCGTGCTTTGATTTTAAATGGTCTAAACTTTCATTTATTTTACTTCTAAACATGTAACGGGCACTGTGACTTTCTTTCTGTGTCATTATGGGCGGAACACCTATGTCATGTATATGCGCTGTTCTCGGTCTGCAAGATACCACAACTAAAAATAACGTCGTTTTGGGAAACGTAGTTTTGATGCAGTCTACCCAAAACCTATGAACTTGGTCACTGGGGCACTAAGAGTAACAGCCATTAATACCTCAGGTGACAGTCGGGACAGGCCAAGCAGGCAGGTGGTTAAGGCTGAAGAGGAACTTCATGAGTCTGAGCTGAGCAAGGCTGGTCTGCACCCCTGGGATGGGGGTCCTGGGCACGCACTTGCTTTCAACTGTCCCGCAGGAGAGTTGACAGGGTATTGCCTGCCCAGAACCAAGAGCTTTTCCCTGGTAACGACTGTAATTCTTTCCTGCTATTTTGGCTCTCTTGGCCTAGAAAAAGCCACACATGAACTAACACAACTTCCACATTATTTGAACCTCATTCTCACATTCCCACAATAATATATGAGCTCATTAGTATGCAGGACACATTTATAGCAAAAGAGCATATTTGCATTATGTGGCAGAGACTGACTTGGGGAGACCAGTTGTCTTTTCTCCTTAGATACATGAGTAGATGTCATTTTTGAGCTTCCCAGGGCTGGCTCACAAAAAAATGCTCACATGCATTTTATCATGTTCTATCCCCCCTACAGCTTGCTGCCTATGAACATGGTGGCCGCGAAAACCACATAGCAAAAATGGCCACGTGTCAGAGCGCCTCAGCCTCTCCACTGCTGCTTGGAGCAGCCTCCACCAACCAGCCCTTCTCTTAACTCTGTGTCTGAGAAAGAAATGAACTTCTACTGTGTTTAGGCACTGAGGTTTTGGGTTTTAACTCTTAAAAAACTTAACATCACCCTAACTAGAAATTTTTTTTTTCTTTTCATCTTCACAGTGTTGAGTGGTGATCAAGGGAACATTCAGATTTTTGTAGAATTTTGAGTGGTAAGACTACACCATTACTACCTACCAAGTGGGGTTCTGGCAAAGTTTTGACACTCGGCTCTGGTGCAGTGGGAGTGGAATCTTTAATTTGTCGGGCCTGCCTATTATCACGGTGCAAATTTCACAGTCAGTTTCGAGCTACCAATGTCACATCACTTAACAAAGAGATGGGAAGAGGTACTCTCCCTAAGGCAGGGCAGGCCGGGTTCAGCGCAACCATAGCATCAAGCCCACCATGGAGAACCACAGCTTCATATGCATCAGAATCAACAAATATTCAGGAAAAGATATTCTAGCAAGACCTCCAGTGTGTGAGTGAAGCAGATAGCATCAAGAATTACCCACTTCTCAAGAGAAAATAACTATAACTATAACCATAAGTATATATATCTATATATCTATCCATATATCATATATATATATATAATATATATATATATATATATATATATATAACATTATTTGTCCAGGATTTTTTTTTTAAGATTTTATTTATTTGAGAGAGAGAGAGAGAGCACGAGCAGGGGAGAGGGAGAAGCAGGCTTCCTGCTGAGCAGAGAGCCCTATGCAGGACTCGATCCCAAGATCCTGGGATCATGACCTGGGCCAAAGGCAGACACTTAACTGACTGAGCCATCCAGGGACCCTGGGATGTTTAAATGATTTAACCAAATGTAGTTTGAGTCATCAAAGGAAAACAAGAGACCATATGCTTTAAATTTCTTTTTTGACAGAGAGAGAGAGAGAGAGACAGCGAGAGAGGGAACACAAGCAGGGGGAGTGGGAGAGGGAGAAGCAGGCTTCCCGCGGAGCAGGGAGCCCGATGTGGGGCTCGATCCCAGGACCCTGGGACCATGACCTGAGCCGAAGGCAGACGCTTAATGACTGAGCCACCCAGGCGCCCCTGATTTAAATTTCTTGATCATCAAAATCATTCCCTTGTAGAAGGTAATGTTAAGTAACAAAAAATGGAAAAAATTGAGTTCTGATCTTAGATATCATATTTTCTACTTAGGACCTGGGGTGAAATATTCAATACTTCTAAGATTTTTGAAATACATAAAAAGGAGCCAATACGTCAAATTTGCTGGGATATTTAAAAAATAGGAGATAGTTTGCAAAACATGTCTGACACAATGTTAAGTACTCAATGAATGGAAATTATTTTTATTAGGAATATATTATGAGGATCTGTGTGTCCCAACTACTGTACAGATGGGATATGTTAAGAGAATCAAAGAGAAGGGAATGTGTCATATGGAGAGCTCTCTGTCCCTTTTATGTTCTTTCTGGTTCTACCATGCACCAGGAATGCTCCAGGCACAAGGTCTTTGGACCTGCTGTTCCCAGTGCCTGGAACACTCATCCCTCAGATGGTGGGAGACCATATGGTTAGCATCCTCCTTTCCTCCATGTCTTCTCTCAAAATCTCCTTCTTCATGAGCCTTTCATGGGCCCCTTTATCTCTATTTGCAAATGTTTCCTGACAATACTTCCACCTCCTATTTCTTGCTTTATTTTTCTCCTTAGTATTTATCACCCTGAATTATGTTTCTACAATATCAATCATTATACTTAGAATGTATATTATACTCAGGCTAATGCTGTTTACAAAAATACTTACACCATATATTTTCTTATTTATCTATAAGCCCCCAAAAAGCAAGAACTTGGACTATTTTATCCACTGCTTATTCTCAGCATCTGGAATAGTAGATATTAAATATTTTTGTTGTTGTTAGTAAAGCTGTTTAATTAAATTGCTGGCAGAAATACCGTATGTATTACTAAAACTTGACCCAGCCCTCAACATATAGTAGATAACAGATGTTTATTACTTCTGCTCTCACAGAAATGCACAATAGCACCATACTTCTCACCCAATTGCTCTTCCTCACAAAATTTTCTGGACTGACACAGTGTAGCC